GGCGTCTCTCCCGCCCCTCTGGGAAAGAGCGTCGCGATTCCGCGCGGAATGGCCGATTGTCGCAGGGCCACGCATTATGCAGCCGCGGGTAATCGGCGAGGCCATTCCGCGCGGATCCGCGAAGGCCGGGCCGGGCTCGGATCTCGGATCTCGGATCTCGGAATCTTGGATCAACGACCGGGAACGCAGCGGCCCGCCCGCAAGAGTGAATCAAACGCATTCGCGCGTGAAGGGAGGCAATTCCGCAGGCGTTTGCGGTATCCGCGAGGCCGAGTCGAGCGTGACGGAAACGAATCTTACTTTGGACATTCTTCTACGGTGGAATTCGAGCTACGGACCCGGGTCTCGATACGTGGACTCGGTTTTGATATTATCGCGAAGGCAGCGAAACGGAAAGAGAGGGAACAAGGGGGCGTTCGTTGATGTATCAATCGAGATGCTTTTTCTCCTATTCTTGTATTTTTCATTATTTTTAATCAGGAGACTCGGTTGAGTTTCGCGACGGAAATGAGAGTTACTTTGAATTAATCATCGCCATGTTGACTACGCAACCCTTTTTGGGCAAATGAACGAAAAAAGAGTACCTCTGCTCTCTCTTTCATTTCTGTAGCCTTCACGGTCAAATCATATTTTGGACTCGATGGTCTGTGGCCTTCGATGCCGAATTTATCTCTCCGTAAAGTCTACATCCACCCGCAACGCTGCCTTGCGATCCATGAAAGACGTGGCGGGAAAAGAAACTATTTTCAAATTTTCGACTCGCCAATCCATCGCCTTCAATGTCAAATTTATACATATGCAAGTGGGTATATTTGGCGCGAAACTTTAAGGTGAAGTGAAACACGTCGAGGAACTTGATCAACGTCGATAAAGAAGATTTTTCTAAATGCCTACGTTGCCGACGTTCGTTTTTATATCGACAGCTATACCGAATTATATTGGGTATTGTATCAAATGGCATACTCTGCCTGTCGTTTTCGTACAATAATTATCAAGAAATCGAAGTAAAACTCTAAAAATCCTCTGGATTCATGCTTTCTGGGGCCCTAATTCACTGCAGAGGGACCCCCTGCGCCATCTGTGATTTTCAGGTCAATTAAATTTTCACTCCGAGACCTCGTATTACCATCGTTTTAGCATATAAGCGTATACAACACTTTTTTGCCCTTATCCCGTTCAAATGTGAGTTTATCGACTATCAAAGTGTTCTAAATTGTCGTAAAATTGTCCTGACCCTTTTCGATTCTCATATCAGAGCCTTCGATAATTATATACTGATCGAAATATGAGAGCTCGACGCCATTTTGGTTTTGGTCTAGGCTGAGTTAAAAAATTCTTTTCAAAAATTCAAATTTTGAATGTGTCAGGACAATTCTTAGACGATCAGGAGTGACGTGTCAATGTTTCGGACAGTTTGGTCTAATACCCTTAAAGAAAAAGTGTTGTATTCGAATCGACTGATTTGAAGGGTGTTTCACTTCACCTTAACGAGTTGACTGATCTTTATAAATCTTACATCCATCCGCAACGCTGCCTCGCAATTGGCTATGAAAGACGGCGGGAAAAGGGCTTTTTTCAAATTTTCGACTCGCCGGTCCATCGCGTCGGCGTCGTCCGAGTTTACGGTTATGCCCTGCCTGTTAAACGAAGCGTTACTCAAGGCGTGTCCGCGAGCGGGCTTTTAACGACGACCCAGCTTTCTCCGCATTGTCGGCACGGCTACGATTTTTAAGCGCTTCACCGCTCGTACTCGATTACCATTACCGTGGACGTGGCTCGAATTCGAATTCAAGTTGTAGACATTCTTCAAAAACCTCCTTGCCGATGCGTGACACCTGAATATCCTCGATGTTTTCGATTCCAGCGGTATGTCGAGTGACACCTTAACTGTAAGTACGAAACATCTTGACTGTAAATACGAAACTGTCCAGGGAAAAACGAGTTGCGTAATTCGTCAGTAATTCAAGTTTTTAGGTTAGATTAGGAAGAGCGTCGCAGAGAGGACTCGAGTTTGAGGAAGCGTCATTGAGAAGGTATTCGACATATTTGACGGGTAAGTTTCTGTTAAATTGTCCTTTTATCTTCAGGATAACGCTTTCACTGGTTTCGCTGAAACCGAAAGGAGGTTCCAGTGCGGAGATTTTCCTGGAGAAAGTACCATCGGTACCTTGTTGACGTTCCACTGGAGTTGGGATGAAATTGATCATATTCACAACAAGTGGTTTCCTATGTATGCAAGCTCCCCGGTATGTATTTGCATATATATGCGACGATTACTACGTAACCATCGAAGGATTTTTAAAACGATTTATGGATACGAGTAAAATTTTAGGAGACTCAAAAATCAATTCTTAGCAGCGTCCCTGCAAGAAAGAAGTCATCTTTATTAACTTAGTAATGGTAAATAAGTAGTTATATTTCCTAGTTATGTTTTCGTGTAACAAGTATGCAAGTGTATAGTTAGCGTGAAACTCTTTCGAGGTTTCCTGTATGTAACCTAGAGGTGATATTTAAATAGTTATAGTTTTTATTTACGTTTTCATATAATTAGTATGCAGGTGCGGATTTCGCGCAAAACTCTCTCGAGGTTCTCGATACTTCGTCTAGATATGATAAGTGGTTATGTTTTCTAGTTACGTTTTCATATGAAAAATATGTAAATGTGTATTTGGCTCGAAGCTCTTTCGAGGTTCTCTATACTCGACTTAGAGATGTTAAATAAGTAATTATAGTTCCTAATTACGTTTTGTGTAATTCCTAATTTCATGGTACATTTATCTGTAGCTATTCGCGACGAGAGGGGAGTTTGGCGGTCTCGATATCGATCTCTGTCAGCCGAAGACGAACGAAGTGCGAAGAACCGCCATGTTCGAAGCCAAAAAGACGCGTCGAGACTCGGCCAATGTTCTCGCAAGAGCCAACTCGAGACGAGGACGAGTTCTTTGCCGAGCTCCAAAGAGAGTCGGAAGAACTCAGTGCCAAGGAATTATTCAAATGGAGCCTGTATCTTTGTCTCGCTGCCGTAATGACTGTCATTTAGAAGACGCCCCCTCTGACTCGTATGCCAGTCCCGTCTCGTCTCGCGACATGCTCGCCATGCGTTAAACTCTCCAGACACGAAAAACGTGCGGATAACATATAACCACCGGACCATCCAGCATTAAAAAATAATATAATAAGTTACGCCATGCGATCAATTTTCCAGGCACGAAAAACGTGCGGATAACATATAACCACCAGACCATCCAACATTAAAAAATAGTATAAGTTACGCCATGCGATCTATTTTCCAGATACGAAAAACGTTCGGCTAAACGTCACCAGCAGAACATCCAACATCCAAAAATTATATAAGTTACGTCATCTGTTCAACTCTTCGGACACGAAAAATGTGCGGATAACGTATCACTACTAAACCATCCAACACCCAAAAATTATTCGAGCCGCGATTTCACAAAATACGGTTCAACAAAATCCAAATGTCTGATGCAACTTCTTTCAGCAACCAAACGTTGCATAATAAATTACGTTATAACGCTTAAGCCAGTGTCAGAGATCGGCAAGTTAAAAGTTTAATTAGCGACTTGTCGATGGTATTGTTTGAGGTTTCACTAGAAGTGACCTAAATCGAGTGCGATCGAATCCAAGACGATGACATCGCTAGTTTACGATCTTAACCGACGAATAAGCGATATACAATTTGTTGTTTCTAGAAAAGAATATTGCAGTAATATCGAAGTAATAATTTTTTTTTCTTGTAATTATAAATATAACAAAAATGCTTCCGAGCAAAAATATTGCTGACCCATTTTCAAGTGTTCACATTTGTTGCAAGTAAAGTCTCTTCCTGTGACTGAATTCTTTTTTTTGTTACGTGCAAAGAGGTGTTCCGATTCCATTGATTCGAATTACCTGGAAGTTAGACGTATCCCCGGAAATGGAGTTGGGGGCGAAAACCACCTCGAAATCGAGACTCGCGCAGAAACCAATCGGAAACGATCGATGGATTTGCGACGTTATTTGCCCCAAGATTCCAAGCTGGGAGGAGAGCTCGAGAAGCCCTCCTTTCCTCTTATTACAGTCTTTCCGGTTTTGCCTCCACTTCACTCTCTCGAGCCCTCTCCCTCCCTCTCTTCGCTGCCCTGAGAATCTCTTCTTTTTCCCCGCCGATTAATGAGCTCGCTTGTTCTTATTTCTTACGACTCCATGCCGAGTCTTGTCTCCTTTTCACGTTTCGAATGCTAATTCGGTTCCTGCACGAGCGGATACGTCATTTTATTCAATGAAATAACGGCATCGTTCCTGTTACTTGCAAATACAGCTTTCAGCGGACACGTGTAAACGTGTCCATGCTAATGCGTATTACATTCAAATCACGCGGTGTTACCTAAGCGATAATTACAACGTCCTGCCGATTATTAAATTTCCCTTCGTTCGTTGTTATAGGAAATTGTGTACGGCATAATTATTTAACCCCCTCCAAGGTTTACTAAACTTTCTAAAGCAGTATTAAATATTTTTTTCCAGTTTTTTCTTTGCAGGATCCCTATTTTTAATATTGTTGCAAATGCCACGTTTAATAACGATGTCAAATATTTCTTTATTTTACATAATTAATACTTTCTATCGTTACAAACTGTGAGTTTAAATTCCATGTTTTATTACCGCATTTAATCGCCATATTTTAATATCCTATTTATAGAGGATGTAAAATATTTTCTCCATTTTCATTCCTTTATTTTCCTTTGTTCTTCACGGTGCTACTACTTAACGTTTAATATTTACAGCATTTTATTGTTAGCACTTTTACAAATATCCTGTTTAAATGCCATGTTTTATTACCACGTTTAATCCTTCAGTTTAAAGGGGATGTAAAATACTTTCTGGAATTTCTTTCGCAGGGCCTTTATTTTTAATATTTACATTTCAAGTAATAGAAAATGCAATAACCAGACCCATTGTTTTACATTTGAATGACCTTGACTCGTTTCTCATTGCAGGCCTCCTGGTTCTTCGAATGCCTCCATCGCGGGGACCGCGTCCTCCCTCGGCAACGCGGGACTCGCGAGTGGCGGAAGAGTCGCGGTGATCGGCGTCACCAGGAATGTCCGACTCCGAAGAAGAGGCGCTTCCGGATTCGGTTTTTCTCTACGAGGAGGACGAGAATACGCGGCGGGATTCTACGTGAGCGACGTCCAGCCTGGAGGCGAGGCTCACCGAAATGGACTACGGGTAAGCGTTATCGCTATCTCTACACGGAGAAAAAAAAAAAAAAAAGAAAAAAGAAATGCGATAAATCAAAGAAATATTTTGTCATTCAATGAATTTCACTGAAATCGACTCGAAGTAAATTTCCATCATTTCGAAGGAACGTTGCTTTCAATCGATTTGAGTTTAAGGTGAAGTGAAACATCCTTCAAATCAGTCGATTCGAATACAACACTTTTTTTTAAGGGTATTAGACCAAACTGTCCGAAACCTTGACACATCATTCCTGATCATCTAAGAATTGTCCTGACACATTTAAAATTTGGATTTTTTAACTCAGCCCAGACCAGAACCAAAATGGCGTTGAGCTCTCATATTTCGATCGATATACAATTATCGAAGGCTCTGATATGAGAATCGAAAGGGTTAGGACAATTTTACGACAATTTAGAACACTCTGGTAATCGATAAACTCGCATTTGTGCACACAATTAGGGCCCCAGAAGGCATGAATCCAGAGGATTTCTGGAGTTTTACTTCGATTTCTTTATAATTATTGTACGAAAACGACAGGTGGAGTATGCCATTTGGTACAATACCCAATATAATTCGACCCAGCTGTCAATATAAAAACGAAGGTCGGCAACGTAGGCATTTAGAAAAATCTTCTTTATCGACGTTGACCAAGTTTCTCGACGTGTTTCACTTCACCTTAAGTCAAATAGTTACTCTTTGAATTGATAGAATATATTTCTTACTTTGGAGATCGGGCCTCGAAACAAAATGGCTGCCGCTTTTCTCCTGGTCAATTCGGTGTAGCCTATCCGTTGTACGATTGTTATAGGTATCAGTAGGGTATGTACGTTCTACAATTCTGCTAGAACCGAAAGAATGCTTCCTTGGACCAACCGGCGAGGGTCATTCCCCTGGAACCTGTTCGTTTGGCCAACTTGTCCGCGACTAATTCGGACCTGTTATCCTCGTCGGGTTTCGCGTCGATTATTTATCAAGTTGACGCGAAACGACTGCGGTGGTTCGTAGTAAATTTCAAATCTCCAAATTACGAAGCTGCGACCCATTTTTCTAACATCCATCCGTATACCGTTAAAAAGATATTGCGATTTTATGACACCTTATTTATACGTTTTAATACACGTTACAAATTCATTACATTTTATTTATACAATTTAAAACTTATCATAAATGTATAACGTATGTTATAGACAAGGCGGAGCTGATTTATATTTTTACAAGTCAAGACATTTTCAGAAATAATTAAGACGTTTATAAAAAATCCCGAATTCAGTCGTGATTCTTATTAACCGTCTTTATAGAGATTCAGTACATAAGTGCATTTTATAATGCATCATTTTTCTACGTTCACTCATCGATCATGTTCTGAACATGATGAAATATTCCAAGCAACGCTGAGGCGTTTTTCTGAAGAAATTGGTCAAGTAGAAATTATTCGGCGATAAAGTTAATAAGGAAATATAATTTTATAACATCGGTGAATGTTTTATAGTTAGAAGGGTGTACTTATGTGTAATACTTTGCAGGGGGTATTTATTTATTTTTAATTTTTATTCCTACTATTAAACGCGATAAAACGTTTCCTCTCACGGTGTGCGCTTAACCGCGCCGGAAGTTGTGATTAATCGATTCCATCAAGCTGAGTGCGCCGCCATTTTTATATCGAGACACTTTCTCGACTCGGCAGATCGAAAGCTGAAACGTGATTCACTAGGGATCGATGCAGAAATTGATCTGAAAAAAAGATCCATATAAACATGGAACTAATATCCGTACTTGTTTCAATTCCAGATAGGCGACCAAATCTTAAGGGTGAATGGCTATCCCGTCGAAGATGCCGTTCACCAGGAAGTCGCCCTCTTGGCGAAAAATCAACAAATTCTCGTTCTCAAAATTCGAAGTAAGTCATCGTAACGAATGTTCATCGCTATTTACTTTCTTACTAAAAAGCGTAAAAAAGCGTTCAAAACATGTTTCACTTCCAAGTCTTCCAACACATTTTGATTTTCAACACATACCTTGGGAGATCATCTATTCCTCGTTAACAAGTCACTTTTTAATTACAGGTGTGGGGATGATACCAGTCAAAGAGTGAGTACGGCGATTAAACTTAAAACAGGCGTAACCGATCGACCAAATACAAATTTCCAAGGTTTCGCGGTTAACTCTTTCGTTACCTTGGACGAGATATCTCGCGACCCAATACTGGCCGATTAACGCTTTTGACGAGATATCTCGCGACCCGATACTTGTCGATCAACGATTTTGACGAGATATCTCGCGACCCGGTAGTAGTGGATTAACGCTTTTGACGATAATCTATCGGATCGCGAGATATCTCGTCAAAAGCGTTGATCGGCCAGTATCGGGTCGCGAGATATCTCGTCAAAAGCGTTGATCGGCCAGTATTGGGTCGCGAGATATCTCGTCCAAGGTAACGAAAGGGTTAAACTAGTGACTCGATCGGTCGGACGCCTCTTAGGGTGAATATTTCCTCGAATTAGACGCAATAATGTCAATTTACGACCGCAGCAATCCGAACGACCCGGTAACGTGGCATATGGTCCAGCAGCAGCAGCAACAGTTCCAGTACAACGAAACCGGTTCGGGATCTGTTCCATCGTGTACCGAGGTGCGAATCCGGATCACCGTTGGCGAAAAGGGACGCCTTGGATGTGGAGTTTGTCGAGGAATCGTACCCGGCCTCACCGTGCAGGTTCTCGCTCATTCAATTACTCATTTTATTGCCCAGTAAATTGGACTCCTGCGAAGTACTCGGGGTGATCATCAGTTTTTTACCTAGGGTTATTAACGGCGAAAGTTGCAAGGGGCTCATACCCTGAGAAAAAAGGAATTCATTGAGCCAAAGAAATATTTTCTTCATTCAAGGAATAATTATTAGATTGGAGTACCCTTAAACAAATTGTAATAATCCCGAATTAATTCGAGTTTACCCTAGGCATTTGAATTAACGAGATATTCCTTTGGTTACTATTTAAAGAGTATATTATTCAAAATAAGGTTTATCGCCGAAGTGCCGCTGTGTAGTTTTACATGAAATTTCATTGAACCAAAATCTTCTTTGAAACAAGTTTTTAATTTTCTGTTAAAAATAGAATTTCGTGGGTATCAAGATTTTCCTTAGGGCCTCCTTGTCCGTGGGGTAAAATTTCAAACAATTTAGCTTATTCGTTCCGGAGAAATGTTTCATAAATAATTGACTCCTCGGCTTTCACACGGCCTTAAAGCGCCATTAGTTTCAGGATCATCGTTGCGCCTCCTAAGACCAAGCTCGAATTTATTGCCGAAGTCCTGCTCCGTATTTTTCCTTTCGTTTTACATGTCCCCGTGGTAGTTTTGCTCCCGGCATGTCGTAACTATAAATTTATACGAATTTAGTGTAATAACATCCCTGCGCGTTCCCAGCGAAAAGGAGTGCGTGTGGAATTCAAGTTTTACGAGCAATGGCACTATTTTCTCGCCATGGCGGCGCGGTAACGAGTTTCCTTGCTTAAATCGGTGCATATTTAGCTCACCTCGAATTGATATGAATTTGGAGTAATAAGAACCTGGCGCGTTCCCGAGGCGCGAGAAAAGCGCCGGCGGAATCTCAGTTTTACTGCTAATGGCGCGATTCTAGCCTTCTGGTAAAACGGTAACGAGTTTCCTTACATTACCAGTTTACTAACAACGCTATGCCGCGGTATCGAGCTCGAGAAGAATTTAATTGACCTTAATAACGTTACGCCAGTATCTCGAGTTACGCTCGAATTTATTACAGAACCGATACCGCGATTTCACGTTTTTATTTTGCGTTGTAATGGTCGTAAGTTAATTGTTATTAATATTAGTAACGTGCGGATCCACCGCGAGAAAAGGAGAACTGCTCCAGATTTGAATTCCAGTAACCAACCTAACTTCTATTCTGCATCTGGAATTACGAAATGGCTATTATAATTTCTCTCGATACTTTCTCCTTACGTAGATTTTTATTAAAAAAACAGAAGACGCACTGTTGAGAAATCGCGATTTCTTATGAATTTTATAATCAACGTGCCCCTGACTTTTGTAGTTGATTTTTATAGTCTTCTGAGCACGCCCAAGAATTTTGTAGTTTTATTTTAGCTGTTCAATAAAACGAGGATAAAATTACTATCTCCCATCATTTAAGGTGACATGAAAGTGGTGTCTAAGAGTTTATGAAATTTTTCTTCGTACCGGGTGTACCGAATCGTTTCAAATTTGGCAACGTGAATGTGATGGCTATAAAGAAGGCCCTGACACGCATAAAATTTCAATTTTTTTAAAATTTCTTCATGGATATATTACAACTTTTTATGTATAATGAAATTTCATGAGAGTCGGGACCTTCCTTTTAGCCTCCACGTTCACGTTGTTAAGTTTGAAACGATTCGGTAGACTCAGTTCGTAGAAAAGTTTCATAAACGATTAAGATTGCGGATGCTACTTTCACGTCCCCTTAAGTACTCTGTGGGGTTTTACGCATACACTTTGCTTCGTGCATACGTATATGCACGTATGCAACTGAGTATATTTGGCGCGAAACTCTACTGTGCGTCTTGATTTCCTCCATGTTTAGGTTGTAAAATTTGAAACAATTCGGTAGACGCAGTTCGTATAAAAGTTTCATAAACGATTAAGATTTCGGATGTTACTTTCACGTCCCCTTAAGGTGAAGTGAAACACGTCGAGGAACTTGATCAACGTCGATAAAGAAGATTTTTCTAAATGCCTCCGTTGCCGACGTTCCTTTTTACATTGACAGCTGGATCGAATTATATTGTGTATTGTCCCAAATGGCATATTCCACCTGTCGTTTTCGTACAATAATTATAAAGAAATCGAAGTAAAACTCCAGAAATCCTCTGGATTCGTGCTTTCTGGGGCCCTAATTGACCTGCAGAGGGACCCCCTGCGCCATCTGTGATTTCCAGGTCAATTAAATTTTCACTCCGAGACCTCGTATTACCATCGTTTTAGCATAGAAGCGCAAACAACACTTTTTTTGCCCTTATCCCGTTCAAATGCGAGTTTATCGACTACCAAAGTGTTCCAAATTGTCGTAAAATTGTCCTGACCCTTTCGAGTCTCATATCAGAGCCTTCGATAATTATATACTGATCGAAATATGAGAGATCGCCGCCATTTTGGTTCTGGTCTGGGCTGAATTAAAAAATTCTTTTGAAAAATCCAAATTTTGAATGTGTTAGGACAATTCTTAGATGATCAGGAGTGATGTGTCAAAGTTTCGGACAGTTTGGTCTAATACCCTTAAAAAAAATGTTGTATTCGAATCGACTGATTTGAAGGATGTTTCACTTCACCTTAAGTACTCTGTGGGGTTTTACGCATACACGTTGCTTCGCGCATACGTATATGCACGTATGCAAATGGGTACATTTGGGGCGAAACTCTACCGAGCTTCTTGATTTCAGGGCACGAGGGAAGGTGGACCAGCCCGAGCTGCAGGTTTGAAGGCTGGCGACGTGATCATCTGGTGCAACGGGCAACGACTGACGGACCTCCCCTTCGAGCGCGCGATCGAGGTCATGCGCGGCGCGGCAGTACTCGACCTGGTGGTGAACCGACCCGCTCCTAATCATCTCTACGACTGTCCTGAGACTCTTTGGATGCGCGGCTCCAGCGGGTACAATTCCGAGTCCTCCAGCCTGATCGCGGAAAGCCCACCGCATAGCGGCAGAAACGCGCCTTCCTCTCCGCAAAGACTCGGCGAGATCGGCACGGGACCGCGTCGCGGCCACGACGAGCCCTGCGGAAATGGCCGGTGAGATTCTCCTCAAAGTGGTCGGAGAAAGTATCGAACCCGATAACGATCGTTAGGCGCACCGCCGATTCCGATTAATGAGCCGATGCATGACGTTCATTCGTGGAAACGTCATGGTGTCAAAGTGTCACGAGTTGAAAACCTCTTGATGCAAAAATGTGATATTTTAATTACGTTATGATGCGATGATATCACGACCTCGAGCCCTCTGTGAAAGAATAATTAAGAAGAATTAATTTTTTGTAACTTCCCGTGAATTTAAAGCAGAACTATATTTTAGATCTCCTTTTCTGTTTAACGGCGTTCACCACCAAGTGGGGACGATGACTTCCACCGCTAGATGGCATTAGCATCGAATTCGGTGGGAGGTAACCAAAACGTACTTTCTCGCTCGGATGAGGGAGACGCGACGCATAATGGGCAGTGTTTAGCAACGGGCGAAAAATGTGTGTGTATTTTGCACGTATACAACTCACGCAACGGCTAGACGCCTCTGGACTAGGCGCCGAAACGTGTGTGACCCTCGGCCGCACGCACACGCAAGTTGGACGCTCCGCCTAGTGTCGGCAACGGTTGCTAAGGAATGCCCAAATTCCGCGCGAGAAACTTGAAAATCCTGAAAAAGGTGCTCCACGGGGACAACGATTTTGAGCGTATTTCTCAACCGATCGAGCTCAACGAGTGCTCGTTTTAAAGATAAAATGTTGACGTGTGTTTATATGGGAGCGATTTTCGATCGAGCACCTCCTTCCTAGGTAAAAGGGCCTTGAAATTATGTCGTTGCACTTTTTTATATGATAATGACCACTTATCGAAAATCGCTCCCATATAAACACAGGTCAACGTTTCAGCTTCAATATAAGCACTCGTTAAGCTCGATCGGTTTAGAAATACGTTCGGAATCGTTGTCCCCGTGAGGCCCTGCAAAATCGCTGGAGTGGTGAGCGCCCTTAATTGGATAAGCGGTATTTACTTATATATTTTTTTGTTAACTATCGAGAACACTTTGTAAACGTTCACTTGTATACTCGTATCGATGAACGCGGCAGAATTCTACTTTGCATTAGGTCGGTAAATCGAGGTCGGGCATGTATCGCCTCTTCCAATTAGCAGCAAGATGAGTAACATGTAGAGCCGTCTCGGGTAACTAAAGATTCTTTCTTATCTCCAGAATATGCTGTCCTTTGGCCCTGTCGACGAGCAGCTGCACCACCTCGGAGTGGAGCCACGTGGACCAGGTGAGGGAGAGAATTCGATCACGGAGAAACCACCGCAGGGCCGAGTTTACGAGACGTTGCACTTTGACTTGCAGATGCAAGAGTGGACCAGGAAGTCGAACAACACCACGGTCATCCAGGTGAACCAGAATCAGAGTCCATACCAGCGATCGGGTTGCTCTCACGGGTTTCATCCTGGAATCAGAGGAGAGAATTACGAAAAGGAAAACGAGCCTCTATACGATCCCGTGGCCCCTCGAGCAGATTACGAAGTCCACGATTTCGACACAAATTCTAGACACGACGTGAGGAATGTCGAGCCCCAAAGACGACAGGTGTATCAACGCGACAATTGCGACGTTATCTATGACGGTCCTGCCGATGATAACATCGGCTATTATACGTCCAAAGTGGTAGGCTACCTCTTATGCCGTTTCGTTCTTTTAACCTCGCTTTCGAATTTTCAAAACTCGAGATAATTATAACTAATATGAAATATCATTTCAGAATAACGGACAGCCGGACGGCAACCGACTGGCCGAATTGCAGCTTATCCAGAGCCGTACGGAAACCGAAAGGAAAACTGTAACCACCGTGGAAGTTCACTCTGTTTGTCCCCCCGTTCCGCCCTCCATGCCACCGCCACTTTCCTACAAGTGGCAAGCAGGTTGGTTTCTTTCAAAGGGATTTCCTAATTTCACTTATGCATGCTTCGGTACAAGGACTGTAATATACCTCTCGACCTCCATATGAAGTGCGCTCCTACACGCGACAGACATTTTAAATGAAAGGGTAAACATACCACCGATAATCTATCCAACATCCATGACAAAATTATCAATCACCAATTGTCGGTCGCGTGTTACAGTTCGAGCAACCATTTATTAAAATTGTTAAGGTGATATGAAAGGGTCATTCCATGAATATATATACCAAATTGCAAACTCTTTTAAAACATTTCTCTAAATTAGGTCCACCGAATCATTTTAAACATTAGAATGTGATTATGGAGGTCCGAAGGAATGTCCTCAAACTCACGAAATTTCTTTACAAATATTTTAATGTTTTATATATACGGAACGACCCTTTTACATCACCTTAAATCTTAATTACATGTTGTTGAAAACGCGAAAACTGCTCTAAGAGCTTCATATCTGCCGTTTTGGTTGTTCCACATTCTTTTTTTTTCATTTATGATCGTGTCCTTTTCCTGCAGATACCAAACCGATGAACGCGATGGGGATGCAGATGGGCAGCACCATGTCCATGGGAAGCACGGGGTCCACTGAGACCGAATCGAGTCTCGAGTCGTCCTGCAGCAAAGACTCGGCATCGACTTCGTCTTCCCTATCGACATCTTCCTGCGACCCTGCGTCAACGGTCTCGTTTGCATCCAACGGAGGTGCCAACACTGGAACAACGAACAAACCCAACGAACAAGCCCCAGGACGCATCGGTCGCATTTGTGCATCAAGGACATCTCCTAGTGCAAGCATCGATTTGGGTTCGGCTATTACTCAAGAATTGCAGAGGCGAGCTCAGCAGGTACTTACGAAGGGCTATTTCTTTTATTTACAGTTTATCGACAATTTACTCGGAAATCCGTTGGATTATTCACTCAAGAAATTAAGGTGAAGTGAAACACGTCGAGGAACTTGATCGACGTCGATAAAGAAGATTTTTCTAAATGCCTACGTTGCCGACGTTCGTTTTTATATCGACAGCTGGGTCGAATTATATTGGGTATTGTACCAAATGGCATACTCCACCTGTCGTTTTCGTACAATAATTATAAAGAAATCGAAGTTAAACTCTAGAAATCCTCTGGATTCATGCTTTCTGGGGCCCTAATTCACTGCAGAGGGACCCCCTGCGCCATCTGTGATTTCCAGGTCAATTAAATTTTCACTCCGAGACCTCGTATTACCATCGTTTTAGCATAGAAGTGTATACAACACTTTGTTTGCCCTTATCCCGTTCAAATGTGAGTTTATCGACTATCAAAGTGTTCTAAATTGTCGTAAAATTGTCCTGACCCTTTCGATTCTCATATCAGGGCCTTCGATAATTGTATATCAATCGAAATATGAGAGATCGACGCCATTTTGGTTCTGGTCTGGGCTGAGTTAAAAAATTTTGTTGAATAATCCAAATTTTGAATGCGTCAGGACAATTCTTAGATGATCAGGAGTGACGTGTCAAAGTTTCGGAAAGTTTGGTCTAATACCCTTAAAAAAAAGTGTTCTATTCGCATCGACTGATTTGAAGGGTATTTCACTTCACCTTAATGATTTTAATGCTTAAGTCACGTGGAACTCAGCTGGAAATAGCAAGCGGAAATCACTGGAAATTGATGGATGTCACCAAGACATTGTCACAATTGTAAGGCCAAACATTATTTGTTACCGAATCGTATTGTTTATGATAGGAAATCAAAGCGAGGGGCTAGTCACTTGGAAATCAGTGGAAACGATTTTCTTTGAGAACCAATTGCCTTTGATTTCATATATGATGAATGAAAAAAAAATAAAAATAAATTCATATGATAAACAATGCGATTCGGTAACATGGGATGTTCGGTCTTAAAGTTGTGACGATGTTTTAGCGATTTCAAATAATTTCTAGGGATCTCGCGCATTAAAATCCATGATTTACTGAGTGAATAGCCTCTTGGGTACGTACGTACCTGTTATAACGAGTGTACATAGAGCTGGTAACCTGCTCCTCATTGTTGCTGACAAGAGCCGAAGAGCTGGGAAGTGTTTTCAAGAGCCAGGCCCTCGCTCTTCAAGTACTTCTAGTACTTCCAGTATTCTCCCTCGACGACGTCAGTTGAACGAGATGTCGGCTTAATTTTATTCACGCGCTTTCAAGTTTATCCGCGATCGAGGGCGAAATCGGATCGGACGTGAGATAAGACAAAGCCGATATTCGCCGGATAGAACGGAAGCCTATCGTTCAATCAGTGTCATGTAATCGAATAAGTAGTCAACCAGGTGCTCGATACATCCGACAGGAGTTAGAAGGCACTTACTCATTTATATTAATATTTGTATTCATATTTTTATTTACGGTGATATGAAAGAGACCACTAAGGGATCTCTATGAAACTTCATCTGAGTGTATTAAATTATATGAACTTTTTACCACGTAAATATAAAGGCCCTGACGGAGGGCCCCGATCCCCAAGAAATTTCATTTTTTTAAATTGTTATATGTATGTTTTGTTCGTATTATTTATCGAAATTTTAATTCCACGGCTGACGGACCTTCCTCAAAACGTTCACATTCACGAGGTACAATTTCAAACGATTTGGTGCACCCAGTTAAGGTGAAGTGAAACACGTCGAGGAACTTGATCAACGTCGATAAAGATTTTTCTAAATGCCTACGTTGCCGACGTTCGTTTTTATATCGACAGCTGTGTCGAATTATATTGTGTATTGTACCAAATGGCATACTCCACCTGTCGTTTTCGTACAATAAATATCAAGAAATCGAAGTAAAACTGCAGAAATCCTCTGGATTCAAGCTTTCTGGGGCCCCAATTGACTGCAGAGGGACCCCCTGCGCCATCTGTGATTTCCAGGTCAATTAAATTTTCACTCCGAGACCCCGTATTACCATCGTTTCAGCATAGAAGCGCATACAACACTTTGTTTGCCCTTATCCTGTTCAAATGCCAGTTTATCGATTACCAGAGTGTTCTAAATTGTCGTAAAATTGTCTTTACCCTTTCGATTCTCATATCAGAGCCTTCGATAATTATATACTGATCGAAATATGAGAGATCGACGCCATTTTGGTTCTGGTCTGGACTGTTAAACAATTTTTTTGAAAAATCCAAATTTTGAATGTGTCAGGACAATTCTTAGATGATCAGGAGTGATGTCTCAAAGTTTCGGACAGTTTGGTCTAATACTCTTAAAAAAAAGTGTTGTATTCGAATCGACTGATTTGAAGGGTGTTTCACTTTACCTTAATAACAAAAAAAAGTGTAATAAACGGTGGAAGAAGTCCTTAGGAGCCATTTTCATATCGCCTTAAGGCTTGTCCCTCAGGAGCGGGTTTCTCTTCGTGCGTGCCATCGTGGCTAATCTTTATGCGTACGTTCAGACTAGTCCACAGACATGACTAATCTACATCGTCTAATGTAACTCGGTCCCTTCGATGCACTTGTAAATTCGTGTAATCACCCCTTGCACTTTTTCTTTCAGCGGCTCTTGAACGCTGCGAAATCCGAGCAGGGGAAGGAGAATGTCGCTGAGCCCAGGAAAGTCCAAAATCCGGAGGCCTTAAGGGTGCAGGAGCAGAAGGTCACGCACGATAAGGTTGGTGACCTCTTGGCCACTCCATCGATTCGGTAAAAAACCGAAAACCTGGGAAATCCATTCGCAATGATCGATCGATTCCTGCACACCACTTTCACGCGCGGTTTTCTAGTGCCTCTTTGTACCTCGTCACTCCTGTTGGAGAAAAAAAAAGGTTCCACGCTCGATCGTTGCAGTGGTTGCATACAGTCGGCGTATCGAAAGGAATTGGGTCATTTCCTGGACGACGTCTTCATTTTCTGCATTAACGACCACGGATGCGATCATCTGAAGCGGTACTGAGCGTCGGAACAATCGTCGAAAGTTAACTATTGGATTGCTTTTTTTTTTTATGAAAAACCTGGAAGAATTTACATATGAATGAAGTTCAAGAAGGATCAAAGGGTCGATGTCTTAATTTTTTTTAATTAATGATATGGTTATCTGAGGTGCTGGAACAAGTTTTGTTAATGAAAATTAAGCGCGATGCGCTTACCGGTTCTTTACCTGCTGATGCTTAAGAGTGGACAGAAAATATTTCTCCTGAATTTTCTATTAAATTTATGAAATTTCTAATCAGACCCTTTATATCAGAATTTTGTGTGCATTTATTAAGCGTCGAACAAAATTCGTTATTGCGTTTGCAGTTACTTCTAAGATATGCAACGTTAAATATTTTGGACAATTTCGGAGATTAGCTACTAGGTGTTTTTATTAGGAAAATGTTCTAATTAAAGATATGGTAGAGAATGATGGGAATGTAATATTAATGGTATAACGTTAGATTTAGTGGTTAAACACGGCGGTTTCGCATTAACGTGCGGAATGAAGTGCGCGAGCGTTGCTCATTTATTTTCCGTATTGTCATAATCTACTTCCTGCATGTTCGAGGGCACCTTTGCAATTGCACTCGAGGAAGCATCGTTATAATCATGGCTGCGATTTTTATTGTTATTATTTTTGTTTAGCTAATGGAAGAGTTCAAGCGAGCGCATCGAAAGATGTTCAGCGGAGCTCAGCAACACGTTCAATTCTCGGATCAAGCCGACGAGCAGGTATAATCATAACTCTTGCAACATTTTATGGGAAATAGATTAACGTAAGGGTGTAACGGCAATTCCGGTGGAATTAATATTCACTGTCATTTTTACTCATACAAGGTTAATCGAGAATTATTCTGCAGCGTTTTACACACGTGGGGTGTAAAATGACAATGGTACTTATCAGCAGATAATGATTTTAAAACACCATTGTTGTGAGAAATGGATAAGCCTGATCTTTGTATAGAAGCCACGTACTTTGCCATAATCGTAACGACGTGTTTATCGGCTGTTATTGTTGGTTTATCTCTTTTGGTCATTGAGGAAAGATAGGAATCGAAAATCCGAAAATGGACTTCACTCGAAAACCGAGTAGCACGTAAACCCAATTTTCTGTAATTTTCGCGGGATTAATTAATGTACAATTAAAGGTAATATAATATTTGTTATAATAAGCGACTAAAAATTTCGTCTGGAGGAAAAGTACCGCCTTATGCAAATCGTTGACACTCGGTACATCGGTATCGCTAAACAAGTATATAAAATGTGGCATTGAATGTATCGCGAGTTGATGATAAGTTAACACACGTGGCTGCCCCCCTTGCAGTTCTCCTAGATCGACTCATGACTTTTAATATATACATGTACGAGTCGATAACTTAATTCGCGAGTTCCAGAGTACTCGTCGGAGTCTCCAAACAATTGATTTTCTTTCTCTTAGGGAGTTATTTCACAATTATTGATACAGTTTAGCCTGACTTTTTAAAATTTTACAAGCCATGAAAAATGGCTTCAAAGCTTCAAGACATAATTAATAAGACATCAATTTTCATCAATGTGTATTAATTATTGTTCGGTACTCGTCTCAACGATGTGCGATTTTACCCTGTCACTAAACGATGGCCCACTCCCTAAGAATAATCTCTACAATTATTAATTCAGTTTCCATTTCAGCTTGAATGATCGTTTTTACTCATCGCCGGAATCCGAGGGTAAAGGTGGAAGGAAATTCTCGAGTCGCCTCTTGAAAAGAAACTCGAGCGTGCACGAGTACACACCTGCGTGTATGAGTATTCCTGCCAGGTACTCCGGCGTTAAAGTGCGACATGGACAAGTGCGACAATGCCGTAACAGAGCGCAATTGTGTGCCCGTGTACCCTCTCTCAACAGAGGATCGAAAGTCGAGAGATAGGAAGTAGTTTGCGCCTTAAGGTGAAGTGAAACACGTCGATTAACTTGATCAATGTCGATAAAGAAGATTTTTCTAAATGCCTACGTTACCGACGTTCGTTTTTACATTGACAGCTGGGTCGAATTATATTGGGTATTGTACCAAATGGCATATTCCACCTGTCGTTTTCGTACAATAATTATAAAGAAATCGAAGTAAAACTCTAGAAATCCTCTGGATTCATGCTTCCTGGGGCCCTAATTGACTGCAGAGGGACCCCCTGCGCCATCTGTGATTTCCAGGTCAATTAAATTTTCACTCCGAGACCTCGTATTACCATCGTTTTGGCATAGAAGCGTATACAACACTTTTTTTGCCCTTATCCCGTTCAAATGTGAGTTTATCGACTATCAAAGTGTTCTAAATTGTCGTAAAATTGTCCTGACCCTTTCGATTCTCATATCGCAGCCTTCGATAATTATATACTGATCGAAATATGAGAGATCGACGCCATTTTGGTTCTGGCCTGGGCTGAGTTAAAAAATTCTTTTGAAAAATCCAAATTTTGAATGTGTCAGGTCAATTCTTAGATGATCAGGAGTGATGTGTCAAAGTTTCGGACAGTTTGGTCTAATACCCTTAAAAAAAAGTATTGTATTCGAATCGACTAATTTGAAGGGGGTTTCACTTCACCTTAAACTCGCGCGCGCCATCTTCTCCTCGCAGTTGCTCTTGGCGCGGTCCTCAGCCGGAGGACGTTCGCTTCCTTTTTCTTTTTTTTTTTTTTCTAATTGTTCCTCCAGGGTATATAACGTCAGTAATTATTCGAACTTGTGTCAGGGGATTGTCCGCAACCCGTCATCAGTCGGACGTTGTTACGCGTTTGCTCGCTTTACCCATTACTCGAATAGTATTTGCTATTTGCAATCAGTTGCTAATTACTCGTGGGATTAAATGTACCGGCACTCGAATGTTAATTACAGACTGCCTGAGCACGTATCCAAGGTTTATTTCAGGGATACTATAATATTATAAAAGTACGATAAAATGTAACAATGGATTTTATTCGAAGTCATTCGGTCTGTGGGGCATTTTCTTTCTTATTAATTGCTCTATGGCTTTATTTTTGTATTGATTCATCGATTGCAATTAGCCTTTTAGGTAGCCTGGAAGCGCGTGACGTTAAATTATTAATGAAACTTTTCTCTGAACTTAGTGCACCGAGTTGTTTGAAATTTTGCAAATGGAATATAGAGGCTTTGAGGCAGGTTCTCATATTCGGGAACTTTCATGTTTCAACATTTGTTTCTAAATATTTGGTTGACTTTTGTACGTAATATGAAATTTTATGGGTATCAGAACATTTCCAATGATTGGGAATGTCATATTTGCAAATTTCGCGTTGTATATCATTTTTTCTTTAGCTCGAAGAAATAAATTAACGATGAACAAATGCGCGGGATTTAAGAAAGAAATTTTTCGAATTCCCCCGTCGAAGTATCCGTATATCTGGATATCCTGACTAAGTCGCTCGTAATTTTCAGAATTATCTGGAATTATCTATTTCGCAACGAAGCAGTCAATTTCTTCTACTCGTCCGCCTAAAGTAAGACTTTGTCGGTATTAATTATTAGAAGGTCGGAAGTAGGACCTAAAATAAATGACAATTTCCGAACATAAATTAAACAGTTAATCGATCAACCGATCAATCAAGGTCGGACTATTTTTATTTTATTTTACCAGGGCGAGGAAGGAAAAGTGTTCATAATTCCTTTTTCGAATACGTTAATTATTACAAGGTCGGAAGTAGGATCTAAAATAAATGACAACTTCCGAGCATAAATTAAACAGTTAATCGATCAACCGATCGATCAAAGTCGGACTATTTTTATTTTATTTCACCGGGGCGAGGAAGGAAAAGTGCTCATAATTCGTTTTCCGAATCCGTTAATTATTACAAGGTCGGAAGTAGGACCTAAAATAAATGACAATTTCCGAACATAAATTAAACAGTTAATCGATCAACCGATCAATCAAGGTCGGACTATTTTTATTTTATTTTACCTGGGCGAGGGCGAAAAGTGCTCATAATTCGTTTTCCGAATCCGTTAAATATTACAAGGTCGGAAGTAGGACCTAAAATAAATAACAACTTCCGAGCATAAATTAAACAGTTAATCGATCAACCGATCGATCAAAGTCGGACTATTTTTATTTTATTTCACCGGGGCGAGGAAGGAAAAGTGCTCATAATTCGTTTTCCGAATCCGTTAATTATTACAAGGTCGGAAGTAGGACCTAAAATAAATGACAACTTCCGAGCATAAATTAAACAATTAATCGATCAACCGATCAATCAAAGTCGGACTATTTTTATTTTATTTTACCAGGGCGAGGAAGGAAAAGTGCTCATAATTCGTTTTTCGAATACGTTAATTGTGCCCATAATTATGAAAGTGGTCTAAGTCATATATTTTTTGTTTCGAAATTACATTGAATTAATTTCGTTTGAAATAATATGGCGTGAAATAACTGATAAACTCATTTTTTTTTTTAATTTTGACTTAGACCACTTTCATAATTATGGGCACAATTATTACAAGCTCGGAAGTAGGACCTAAAATAAATGACAATTTCCGAGCATAAATTAAACAATTAATCGATCAACCGATCGATCAAAGTCGGACTATATTTATTTTATTTTACCAGGGTGAGGAAGGAAAAGTGCTCATAATTCGTTTTTCGAATCTCGACTCGGCCGGTTAGTCCCCGCGCAAGTTCCGTCATTTATCGGCAATTAGCAATTACTCTTTATCGCCGCGGCCGCAATCGCCGGCGATAGGTAAGCCCCGGGTACGTGCTCATTTTTTGTTACCGCTTCGATAGGCATCTCGGTGGAAAAGAAGGAGAATACGGATTCTTACATAAGAGCAGTCGTAACCGCGTCGGCCGCGGCGCAACGGTGCTCTCCTCGCGGCTCATCGAGGCGCGTCGTTCCAAGACGAGGCCCATCATCTTTTTCGTTCTCTTTCCCCAACCGAGAGGACGTCGCGTGACTTCTGGAACAAAGTTAGCTCGAGATAACGTGAGATAGGGTCGTCGGGTGCGAGGAAACAGGGCCCTAAGACGTCCTGGAACGGGAATTCGTCGAGCGGTCTGCATGACATCGACCCAGGGAAGATGAGTCGAGACGGTGGGCCCGGAAAGTGTCGCCCATTGGTTCCGATAACTCCTTACAATGTTAGTACAACCTTGATAAAAATCGAGGAAAAGGCGAAATTATCTGCAAATGAAGTTTTGTGACCGGTGACGTGTAAGAGGAAATATTTCCCCGAAGCCGGGGAAAATTCTTCTAGCCGGTGGTATCATCTGAAACAACGCGCCACGTTACGGATATTTATATATTTAATATATTGGTCGAGGTTTATTATATCGGTTGTACCGTATCGAGTGTTGAACAAAATGTCATACTTGATTTGTCGAGTAGAACGATCAGTGGTGTGATTACAAAAGTGGTTGAAGGTAAAACTCAAGAAATCTATACTCGTGATTATTGATTCTATAATCGACTACGACGCCACGTGCGGCGTTTACAGGCAACTAAATTTTAGGCCCAAGAGCAGGTATCGGTCAAGAGATATCCGAAAATTTCCCTGCGTGTTTATGATAACTTTTAACTATTCTTGATTTTCCTTTTCCCACGTGAAATCCGTAATTTTCTAACAGTTATACCCTAAGCCCTGAAAGTCATCCTTTCCGATCATAAGCTTTCAAACGGCGTAAAGTATGAACAATACATATCAACGTTTGTTTTTCGCATCGAGCAAAGAAATTATTCTTTAGAAATATGAAATTTCACGAGGGTAAGGACCTTTCTTAGGGCCTCCATATTCATATGACAAAGTTCCATCCCAAACATAATTCATACAAACAATCTGACTCCTCAGTGGCCACTTTCCCATCGCCTTAAGGTGAAGTGAAACCCCCTTCAAATCAGTCGATTCGAGTACAACACTTTTTTTTAAGGGTAGTAGACCAAACTGTCCGAAACTTTGACACATAGGCCCCAGGACGCATGAATCCAGAGGATTTCTGGCGTTTTACTTCGATTTCTTTATAATTATTGTACGAAAACGACAGGTGGAATATGCCATTTGGTACAATACACAACACAATTCGACAAAGCTGTCAATATAAAAACGAACGTCGGCAACGTAGGCATTTATAAAAATCTTCTTTATCGACGTTGATCAAGTTTCTCGACGTGTTTCACTTCACCTTAATATCAAACAACTGCAATGCCGTCAAGTTTGAAACACCGTTACCGAACGGTAATAATTCTGCATGTATCGATGCATCTTTTGTATAACTTTCGTTATACATCACGTTATTCCAGTGTTATGTAACCGTAACATAGAGTGCTCGGTGGGAAGAGCCCACGTGAGTAGAACCGCGATGTGACCGATTTCCGCAGACTGGTGGACGGAAGAGCGAAATATTACGAGCTGGGCGGGATGCAGAAGAGAGGAGCCTATTGGACGATCTGGTGCGAGCACGTCAGGACTCTTCTCTCGCAAAAAAGCAGAGGCAGCTCCTTTTCGGAGACCACGGCAGCCAGTTCGTCGAGCACCAGCACGCTCTTCCTCCTCTCATCGGAGATAGAACTGGACGGCCGGAGATCTGGAACCCGGAAGAAAGTCTGCAGAGTATGGGCCCATTACGGGGGAGCTGGGGATGGCATTGTTCCAAACTGGCCCCAGAAGGACCTGTACCTTGGTCCATCCCACGCCGAGCTAGGAAACGGCCATTACACGCCAGTGCCCATCAGATTCGCAGGAGCAAGCCTGGACGACGTGCACTACGAGCTCGAAGACCGTTCACCTACGATGTCCACAAAGAAACCATGTTACAGTTGGCCGGTAGACCGAGCTCTACGAACCCATCGCAGGAGTCAGAAGAACGGCGGCCTCTGCGACGTCCTCTTCGCCCGGGAATGGAGGAAGAACCACGACAGGAACAGTTCTCGACGCAAGGAGTCCTCTAGGAGTTGCCTCGAGGAGAGCCCTACAACGGATGAGAACTTGAACACCGCTTCTGAGAACGTCATCCCTGGACGAACCTTACTCACCAGGAGGTCCTGCATGTCCCAGGGGAGAGGGTCCTCCAATAAGAAGGCACTAGCTCCAAAGTTGTCTAGGTTTAGGTTCGGTGTTCCCGAGAAATGCGGCTCTGGACTCTACCTCGGTCCTGCTCATGGCAATCAGGATGACGTCGGCAAGCCTGCCTACAAATTGTTGGAACCGTATAAGTTGGTCGAAGGTGGAGTCTCCGTTTGGGAAGGTGGAGTTAAAAGTAGAAGGCGGACTCACCGAAATAGGCATCCTAGGAGGTATGGCTGGTGTTTTTCAATTTTGCAGAATTCAAGGGCATATGAAAGTGCCGTCAATGAGGTCTCGTTCGTGACGCTTTTCTCCGAACTGGGCGTACCGAATCTAATCAAACTTTAGAACATTAATATCGAGGGTACAAGGAAGATCCTGAAACTCTTCATTTTCGACTCTGAGCCTTCAAGAAGCGTGAAACGTCGAAAGCGTGCACGGAGCACACCGCGTTGATTCTAGTCCTGATAAATAAATACATTTTTTATAAAAGATGATATGACATGAGTTTCAGGACCTACCTTAGGGCCTTCGTGTTCACCTGGCAAAATTTGAAACGAATCGGTACACCCAATTCGGAGAGTTCTTTTACCAACGATTCGACCTCTCAGGTATATATGTGCCCATAATTATGAAAGTGGTCTAAGTCAAAATTAAAAAAAAATGAGTTTATCAGTTATTTCACGCCATATTATTTCAAACGAAATTAATTCGATGTAATTTCGTTTGAAATAATATGGCGTGAATGAAATGGCGTAATATGAAAAAGAAATAAACAAAAAACATATGACAGACCACTTTCATAATTATGGGCACATATAGGCTGGCTCTTTCATGTCACCTTAAAAAATGAAATTTCCATACATTAGCGGAGAATTTAATCCATGGTTACATTACGCACTACCAATTCCAGGTATGGCATCGCCNATTTGGTACAATACACAATATAATTCGACCCAGCTGTCAATACAAAAACGAACGTCGGCAACGTAGGCATTTAGAAAAATTTTCTTTATCGACGTTGATCAAGTTAATCGACGTGTTTCACTTCACCTTAAGGCGATGTGAAAGTGGCGTACGTCACTAGGGTAAAAAAGCGTAGCCCAGCTGAAAAATGCCATTAATTTAACCCGTTGCGACTCAATTGTTCACGATTGTTGGTTAGGTGGCTGGGGTTGGGATAGCTGCTGGTGATGGTGTCGGAGCTGGTGACGTTCAATGGTGCCATGTAAGACAGGGAAAAATCAGCTGACTGATATGGAATTTATATTTTCAATCGCTTCTTGCTGTTGCTTTTTTGTGGAATTCATTCTCGGCTTGTTGCTGCTGGCGAGAGATTACTATATTCACGTGGCGGGGTTCTTTCAGGAGGAAAGTTTATGTACATCTAATTGAAATAAGAACTTCACTGCAATCAGTGTCTCTTCTACGGTCACGGATTCCTCCTGTTCTCTCTGTTTAACGCGGCAAATACCGTTTTAAACGAGGAACTCCAGCAATTACTCTAGAATTGCGTGGTCTCACCAGTGTTCCGTGTTCTGGAAAGAATGACCTGCTCAAAGATCCGTAAAACCTTAAGGTGGGACGAATGCGGGATCGATCAATTTTTTGTGACACTTTTCTCCAAACTGAGTGCACCGAATCGTTTGAAATCTTCCCCAGGTAATTATGGACGCTCTAAGGAAGGTTTAAGGTGAAGTGAAACCCCCTTCAAATCAGTCGATTCGAGTACAATAAAAACGAACGTCGGCAACGTAGGCATTTAGAAAAATCTTCTTTATCGACGTTGATCAAGTTCCTCGACGTGTTTCACTTCACCTTAACACGTCGATGATCCCTTCGACCTCAAACCCAGTATCAGACAACATATTGTACTTATTCTGGGAATGGCCGTTACCCCTTACTCAAAAAGTGCAACCACTGCTCGGTTTAACCTTCTAGATTAATAAATAAAAATGTTTGTTTAATAACTTTCAGGAGCAGGAGAAGCGCCAAGTGAACGGAAGCACTTCGTGTCCTCCACCTCCGCCTCTTCCATCGTCGGCAAAGGGAAAAATCGGCGAGGACGCCGTAGAGATGCAAAGTCTGGAGTCCTTCAAGTTAAAGGAATCCCCCAGCACGGTACCAAAGCCTCCGCCGACGTATTTCTCCCCGGCGACCTCGACGAGCGTTGTCGAGAAGGCGCCTCCTGCAGGAAGTCCTCGCCACGGGTCTCCGGGAATCCCCAAGGATGCGAATCCCCAGGACTTGCCTTCAACTATGGAGTCGAAAAAGAGTCCCCCCGCGCCGCCTCCGATTAGTGCAAACTCTCAGCCACTCGGCAAGGTAGCTATCAGGATAGGCGCTTACGAGGGCGAGGCGAAACAACCCTCCAGGTTGGAGTTCCTTCCTCAGCAGCCGAAACTCGCCGACAAGGACGAGGAACGAGCCAGGGTTCCTGCAGTTTCTAGGTTGCAGAACGAGCTCGCTGCCACGCTGCAGAGGTCAAACCTCAGGAAAAAGACAGAAGGGGTAAAGACTCCCATCTTTGGCTTCGAGTATGCCAGGGTCGTGGCGTTTTCCTATTCTAAGAGTCGACAATTTAAGGTGATATGAAAGGGTCACGCTATATATATATATATATGTTACAGTGAAACACCGAAATCTGGAGAATGTCGACTTTCACCGGTGAATGTCAACATTCACATAGTCGCTTAGTGTATGTCCGAAATATTTGCTAAATACCCTTATTTCTGACTTACACCGGTAAATGTTGACATTCACCGGTGTGTGATTGTCGACACACACTGGAGAGGGTCCGAATGTACAACAATGTAATGAAATATTCGATCTTTCACCGACGTATTTGGTATCTGTTGACATTCACCGGTGAAAGTCGACATTCTCCAATTTCGNTCAATTTGTTACAAATTTGTTATAAAAAATGTAATTTCATGGGGGTCGAGACCTTTCTTAGGGCCTCCACATTCACGTGGTAAGACTTCAAACTATCTTGATATCGTATGAAAGAATTGAGGTGTCAATAAAGACATTTTTTTTTAATTGCAAATTTCATGGCCGCCAGGGTCTTTTTTAGAGTCTATATATTCATGTAGTGAAATGTCAAACGATTCGGTATGCCCAGTTCGCAGAAAAGTGTTATAGTCGGGATATTCGAGGACATTTTCGTGCCATCTTAAAATGTATTGTTGCCGTAAGACCTTTTTCTTTACACTTTAACCGAAAAGGGACTCTTTCGTTTCTTTCAGGAGGTCACAACGAAACCGGTGGTCGCAGAAAACGTAATTTCAATCGCGGCTTCCAATTCCGACACTGCCAAGCCAGTAAGTCTGGTCCAGAGGAACGTTGAGAAGCTATCAGCGGCCTTGAACAACAAGGTCACCATCAAAGTGAGCCCGGAGCAGAACGGTCGATAGATCTAAGTCTAAACATCGAAATTTACCGTCGCACGATAAATGGAAGAAGTATCGATGTATTTTAACGACTGTATATTATCGAAGCAGCGTATACGTTAAGGCTTTTTCTTACATAGGCGTCCTTTTATATATTATTTATTACCCGAGACATAAATAATATCGAGTATCATGTAAACCGTATGTCGAAGCGCCACAATTTACATCTTAGCTGTACGTACACGTAATGGATTTGTAATACTTCCGCGTAATCTTGAGCTTGTAACACCTCGAAAATACTGCCGAAATTCTCGTTCCAGTGGCGGAAGTAAATAAGCAAGTGTAATGCCCATAATCGTACGTGAACTTCTTTTTTTTTACCCCATTTTTAGGAGCTCTCATCAATCCGTTTAGAGCGACCATTTATGTGCGGATGAAGGAAGTAGCTAAGATTTAAAAAAGAAAATTGTTAACAACATTACTAGATGACAATTAATCATACGGTATAGTATTTGTCTCGTAAGTCAGTAATAAACCATGATAATGAAAAGTAGGGGCAGTCATACTGGACGCCGCGTTCAAATATCGCGAAAAGGTTCTTTGAGGTGAAGTGAAAAAGTAAAAGAAGTGTAAAAAAAAGTGTCTTATGCCTTTCCATGCTAAAACGACGGGAATACGAGGTCGCGGAGTGAAAATTTAGTTGACACAGAAATTACAGATGGCGCAGGGGGTCCCTCTGCAGTGAATTAGGGCTTCGGAAATAATGAATCCAGGGGATTTCTGGATTTTCACTTAGATTTCTGTATAATTATTGCACGAAAACGACAGGTGGTGAATGCCATTTAGTACAATGCCCAATATAATTCGATGCAGCTGTCGATATAAAAACGAAAGTCGGTAGGTATTTAGAGGAACCTTTTTCACCAACGTCGATCAAGTTCCCCGGCGTTTGACTTCACCTTAAGGTGAAGTGAAACCCCCTTCAAACCAGTCGATTCGAATACAACACTTTTTTTTAAGGGCATTAGACCAAACTGTCCGAAACTTTGACACGTCACTTCTGATCATCTAAGAATTGTCCTGACACATTCAAAATTTGGATTTTTCAACAAAATTTATTAACTCAGTCCAGACCAGAACCAAAATGGCGTCGAGCTCTCATATTTCGATCGATATACAATTATCGAAGGCCCTGATATGAGAATCGAAAGGGTCAGGATAATTTTACGACAATTTAGAACACTCTGGTAATCGATAAACTCGCATTTGAACGAGATAAAGGCAAAAAAAGTGTTGTATGCGCTTCTTTGCTAAAACGATGGTAATACGAGGTCTCGGAGGGAAAATTTAATTGACTTGGAAATCACAGATGGCGCAGGGGGTCCCTCCGCAGTGAATTAGGGCCCCAGAAAGCATGAATCCAGAGGATTTCTAGAGTTTTACTTCGATTTCTTTATAATTATTGTACGAAAACGACAGGTGGAATATGCCATTTGGTACAATACACAATATAATTCGACCCAGCTGTCAATATAAAAACGAACGTCGGCAACGTAGGCATTTAGAAAAATCTTCGTTATCAACGTCGATCAAGTTCCTCGACGTGTTTCACTTCACCTTAAAGTAGGCTCTGTCTAAGCATCAGCTGATCGGGATTGCCATGTGCGCCTTCGTCTGACTTTTCCAACCACACTTCGGACGCCAGTGTCCTCGTAAGGGTCGCGTTCCCTTGCCGAGATTCTCATCCCTAGGGAGAAAAATTGTCACCCGTTCCCTACTCTACCCCCAAATAAGTTCCTTCCCTGGTCCCGGTCCTGGAGTCGGCAGTTTGCATCATTTTCGCAGTCCCTGACCAACCTCAATGGTCCCGGCCAGATTTTCAGTGCCATGGGCCACGACAGGATTCAGAAACTGCTGCGCTCGGAGTACTGCGAGTTCTCGGACACGGTCCTCGTGGAGTCGCCATTCGCGGAGACGACCAGAGAGGGACGCGGCCTTCGGGAAGTCGCCCTGGGGCTGACCTCGACGAGGCTGATCGTCGCTGCCGACATCCTCGGGAACGACCCGGGCTTCCTTTGTCCTCGCGGTCTCGATCACAGCATTGAGAGCTTCGAGCTCGTCTCCATATATCCCCTGGAATATGTCACTCTCAGTGTGTTTCGACGAAGACGCAGGAGGACTTTAAAGGCAAGGTACACCTTTACGTATTCGCGTTCGTCGTCGATTTTCGCCCTCGTAGACGATTTTCACCCACGTCAACGGTTTTGACCCCGTCGACGATTTTTGCGCTTATCGATGATTTTCATGCTCATCGACGATTGTCGCGTACATCGTCTATTTGCGGGTATTTTGCGTACCAACGGGTCAAGATCCACCAAACGCAGTTTCATAACAATATAACCATTGCATAACGTCCGTAACATGTAACGTAACATACATGTAACGCGTAAGTAATATTCGTATTACTATTTCCTCCGTAGCTACATAACACTGTTATAAAACGAACGACACATACATTAAGGTGAAGTTAAACATCCTTCAATTCAGTCGATTCGAATACAACACTTTTTTGTTAACGGCGTTCGCCACCAAGTGGGGACGATGACTTCCACCGCTAGA